TGTAAACCTTGCCTAAAGCTAGTGTCACAGCAGCAATCACCAAGGTGCACCAATAACTTTACTTAGAGGGTGTCCCTCCCTCTTTGTCCAAGAACACTTTTGAATTGCATTCTCCAATAAGGTCGGTCATACATTATACAATTCTCTTGTACAATTGTCCTTTAGATTTACCAAGGTTATATAATATGAGGTCAAACTTAAACACTTTTAATTTGTATGCAATCAGGCAGACCTTTGCACTACATAGTTGAGGGTAAATCTAAAGGAAATTGAATAAGAAAATTGAATAATGTATGAGCAGCCTAAGGGGCAGTAACAAAAGGGACATCTTGCCAGAGTGGGAACAAAGCCATACGAGAAGGTAGGTGGTCTCTTAGCAATACTGTAGCTGACAAGTTCTCCTCCAGAATAAAATCACTTGTGTGACATGGACCTAAGAAGAAAAAGGTTACATATTTGATAATACAGGTGAAACTCGAAAAATTAGAATGGTCCATTGTGCTTCATTAAGTCCAGGGTCAACGCAGCCATCTACCAGGAGATTTTGGAGCACTTCATGCTTCCTTCCGCAGACCAGCTTTATGGGGATGCTGACTTCATTTTCCAGCAGGAATTGGCACCTGCCCACACTGCCAAAAGCACCAAAGCCTGGTTCAATGACCGTGGAATTACTGTGCTTGATTGGCCAGCAAACTCGCCTGACTTGAACCCCATAGAGAATCTATGGGGCAATGCCAAGAGAAAGATGAGAGACATGAGACCGAACAATGCAGAAGGGCTGAAGGCCGCTATTGAAGCATCCTGGTCTTCCATAACACCTCAGCAGTGCCACAGGCTGATAGCTTCCATGCCACGCCGCATTGAGGCAGTAATTGCTGCAAAAGGGGCCCAAACCAAGTACTGAGTACATATGCATGCTTATACTTTTCAGAGGTCCGATATTGTTCTATGTACAATCCTTGTTTTATTGATTGCATGTAATATTCTAATTTTCTGAGATTGTGGATTTGGGGTTTTCATGAGCTGTAAGCCATAATCATCACAATTATGACAAATCACGGCTTGAACTATCTTGCTTTGCATGTAATGAGTCTATCTCATATATTAGTTTCACATTTTAAGTTGCATTACTGAAATAAATGAACGTTTGCACGATATTCTAATTTTTTGAGTTTCACCTGTATATGGTAACTCCTTGATTCCTTTTGAATTGATGACACAGTGACATATGTATAGCAGTTTTGAAACAGCAGGTTTATGTAACAAAATAATGATTGCTTTATCTGAGGTTCTTGCTATGCAAACATGTACTTTGACACATTGATACACTTCTTATGGAAACAGAAATAGCTTTTTAACCTCCTAGTGCTACATTTATGTGTATATAACAATCACACCATGAATGGATGCAGTAGATGACCAGGAGCAGTAATTTAACTACAGACATATCCTTTGACTAACAATACAGGAGACTTTTGTGTGTTCGTTTGAAAACAAAGCCCCGTGAGCAAAGAAATGTGATCAACAACGATCACTTGGATCTCATGTTACCTGAGCACAGATGTATTTCAATGTTTATGAACAGACAGGCTCTCCAGAATGATACCACTAAATAAATGATTTTCACATCTGCAAGATATTTGTAAATGGTGTTCATTTATTTGATAAGGAAGAAGCTCAGTTTTTGAAGTATTAACTACCATGCTGGTCATTTACAAGGGGCGTTCAGTCAATTCGGGCCTTTTGAGTTTATATTATAAAATAATAAATTTCAAGGAGTGGAAACGGCATTTATTTTTCAGCATTCTCCCCTGCTACATTTATACAGTTATCCCAGTGTAACTAATGCCTGGAAAGCATCAGCATAGAAAGATTTGTTAGTATGCCTGAACCATCCTAGGACAGCCTGAATGATTGTGTTCACCGTTCCCACAGAAAGATTTGTTTCTTGTGCAATTTCACGACAGGTTATGCATCGATTATCCAGGATCAGGCATTCCACGAGCTAAATGTTCACAGGAATGACTTCGGTGGGCTGGGAAAACACCACTGCCGGGATGGTCATTGATGGACATATGGCAATCTTTGAAATGTTTACATCATTCAAATGTCCTACTGCAGCTGAGCGTCTCATCACCGTACTATGCTTGATGTCTTCTGTAGGTATCCTTGGGTTTTATGCCTTCGTTCAAAAGAAACTCCATCACCACACGCTGTTTAATGCACGCACTAACATTGTTGTCTGCCATCTTGAGTAATGGTCTCTGGACTGGCCCATGTGTGCCACCTATCAGTAATAGGACACACTTGCCACTTACTACTGAGTGTAGTACCACCAGGCTAGCATCCCTTTTTATACCTTTAAAATGAAAGGTTGAATTTAATGCCCCTCATACTTGGCATAATGTTTACATAAATATTGAGTTTCTTTGTTAAGATGTTCCACATTTATTTATTAGATCAACAAAGAATACTGTATATAAGTTTCCCAGTTTAAATAAAGACCCTTGATCCCTCCATGAGGTGCCCCACTGCTCCATAGGATTTCTGCCAGGTCTTCCAGGATTTCCAGGACACCCAGGCTCTCCATTACTCACAGGATCTCTGATGGTTATTTATGGCAGAAATCCTAGGACCTCTAGTACTCACAGGATTCTTGCTGGGTTTTCCAAGAATTCCAGAACTCCTTGGACCTCCAGTCCTCACAGGATCTCTGACAGTATTTCCAGGATTTACAGAACTCTTAGAACCTCTGGTACTCATAAAATCCTTGCTGGGTCTTCAAGATCCTTGCTGAGGTCTTCCCTAATTTTAAGAACCTCTAGTACTCACATGATCCTTGCCAGTTCTTCTATGATTTCAAGAACTCCTAGAACCTCTAGTACTCACATGATCCTTGCCAGTTCTTCTATGATTTCAAGAACTCCTAGAACATCTAGTACTCACATGATCCTTGCCAGTTCTTCTACAATTTCAAGAACTCATAGAACATCTAGTACTCACAGGATCTATACCGGGTCTTGTAGGATTTCTAGAACTCCTAGGATCTCCAGTACTCAGGATCCATATAAGGTTTTCCAGGAAACATAAGCCTCGTACACACAGGCAGAATTTCGGCCGGTATCAGCTGGTTCAACAGAAGTCAGCTGACATTCGGCCTGTGTGCACACCAGCTTGTCTGACAGAAGTCGGCAAAATGGTCGACTTTTGTTGAACGGGTATGCTGGAAAACCAGCATCTGATTGGCGAGTGCTGACCAGTGTGTTCTGGTGTGGCGCAGTCCCACTGTCAGAACACAATAGCTCAGCTGGAGTTCACTGTACTAACATTGGATAGTTAGTACAGCCAGTAGTGTATTTAGGCTTTGTGCTGCCCTAGGCAACACAAATATCGCCTGCCCCCACGGATACCGACCAACACCACCCCCCCTTCCCCCTCCTGCAGAGAGAGGCTGACATTGCTGACATTGACCAACAACATTGGCCTTCCACTACCCCCCCCTCCCCCCGGCGATAGAGAAAAAGACACTCATCATCACAGCTCTGGACATCCCCGGGAACGAGAGTCAGGCTCTACATACACCATCAAGCAGCCCGCAGCCTCTCTCGGATCCCACCTGGTTCCCATGGTGCACATGTCCCTTCTTTCATCCCTTCTTCTGGGGGGAGTGTGCTGCCCCCCTGAAAACTGCCGCCCTAGGCGAGTGCCTTGTTTGCCTTGTGGTAAATACGCCCCTGAGTATAGCTCTTAGTTTTTTTTTTTGTTCAGCCCGCTGGGGTAAGTGTGTACCAGCCATAAGGAACTGCACTACTTTGAGGACTTCCAGAGTTCCCACTAACAAAACTGGGTGTGTACCTTAACTAGAAAGGGTATTTAAGCACCAGTCTTTTAAGTTGATGGTGTTGTGTCTAATCAAAAGCTTGGTGGGACAATCCTTAGGGTGGCAACCTGGTGTCAGTTTGCAGACCATGAAGGTTTCTAATATATATGTGTAAAAGTGTTGTGCTGCTCAAAAAACACAAATAAAAGCACAAAGTCCAAATAACACCTATGTGCATATAAACATGAAAGTCCAACATAAAAAGTCCAAATGAATAATGAAAAAACAACTCTTCAGGAATTCTTGGTGGGAAGGACCATGTATCTACTGGAAAGTAAACCCACAATCCTGGTGCTGTAAATCTTTAAAGGAATACACTGCCACAGTGAGTATATGGTAAAAATGGACCCTCACCTTCATATGTGGACCCATATGAGAAACAGGTCAATAGGGCATCTCCACTCTTAGTGTCGGTAATTAAGTGATCTCTTCCATGCACAAAATCTTCCCTTTGTATATGGTCACTGTGTCCTCCAACAAGCCCTCTAATTGGTCAGGCCGATTCTGCAAATGGAACTCAACAACCATACAAAGCAACCATATTGCAGCACGTCCATTAAAAACTCATAGAAGTTTATTTATTTAAATACACTCACATGGTAAAAGTACATAAAGCGCTGGATATCAGTAATGATAAGGCTGTCTCCTATTGAACTGTCAGCGTTCCAGCTCTGACATCACCCAAGCTCCTCCCCATGTGTATCGTCACATGACTTCATCAATGTGACGATATGCGTGGGGAGGAGCTTGGGTGACATCAGAGCTGGAATGCTGACAGTTCAGTAAGAGACATTTAAGCTAAGCAGAAAATCAAAAAGCTACAGAAGGCTTATTGACCTACGCTATAGTTGCTATACAAGTCCTATTATTATTAAAAGAGTACAGAAAAAGTAGTAAATGTCACATGACTGGCAAATATGCAGTCCAGTATAAAATTCCTATATATTTTGTATATAATATTGCATATGAATATTTTGTATTTTCTTCTTCTGCCAGCAGGTGGAGCTCTACATTTCTTTTTACATGTTTTTCAGTTATTATATGTTTTTGTTGATTGCTGCGATTCTTTGGGTGGTGTACAATAATTACTAGGAGTTTTGTTAATTGTGGTATTTTACAGGTTGAAAATGGCTAAAGTTGTAATGGTGGGAGACCTTTATGTGGGGAAAACCAGCCTGATCAACAGGTACACTGCATTGCTTCTGTTTTTGTTTTAAATTCTGTATCATTTGGTGCACACAGCAGATCAAGACCAAGATCATGAGTTGGAATATACATTATTTTCCATTTTTGGTGTGGATGGTCAACCAGAATACAATCCTGAATCAAAATTTAGAATTTAGAAGGTGGAGGAGAGATTTCTTGTGTCTATGTTTTGGGATAGTGTTTAAAGTGGAACTACACTGTATCTGAACACCACAAAGCAAAAATCTAATTTAATTCATTTTTAACATTCAAAGCAAACTCCCCCATCTATCCACATCTCCATGCTTTATTTTGCTGAGACCCCCCCCCCCCCCCCACTTAGCATTTCTGGCCATAACCAACTTGAGTAAGGGCAGATGATTTAGGTAGCATTTACATCCTCAGATTCACCTGGCTTTAGCTCAGGCATGCAGACAGGAGGGTGTTCATAGCTGAGAAAGCCCCTCATCCCCTCCAGAAGACTCCTGGCATGTATGACATCATTTGCCTAGGCAAGAAACCAGGAAGTAACTGAAGAAACATTCAAAAATAGTTTAAACAAACAAATATGATATATTGTACTTTTGTATCTATTTACTAATGCTAACAGCATAAGGACTGAAAATAGTCCATGTTGATTGAAAGAGTGAAGTTCCACTTTGAGTAGAGTAACTAAGCCACCGTGTTGTTTCCCTGTTTCCTAGGTCAGTCTATCAGTGAGTTTGTGAACCACGTTTACCATCTTGAACAAATATTTTTTTTCTATATTTTGAGAAATCAAATATCTAAATATAAAAAGGTTATTTGGGATGTTTGTGATTTTTTTTAAGTGATTCAAACTAAATGTGACCAGTGAACCTTACAGAATAGTTAACATTCACAAAGACCAGTATGCATTTATCTATTATCTGTAATATTGTATGTATTCTTCACTTGTCTTTTTTTTTTGGTTTGTTTTTTCTTTAATAATGTTCAGAATGTCTAAAGTGTAGTAAGATATTAGCAAATGTCTTTCAGTATTCTGGCTATCCTAAACTGATGGGAAATCAAGTGTGATTAGTTACTATGGTATACTATGTTCTGATCAACAGTGATCTGAGCCTCATAGCCTATAGGATTAAACCTGATCTCTGGCAAATATTGTCTAAAAATAAGAGTCATGGGTATGCTCACTTGAATCTTGTTGTGTTTTGTGTATTTCTTTCACATCTGTGTAGTAATCCAGTGTGACACTTTACCTCTGTGGAGGAGCTTCCTGTAATAAAGACTGGTTACTACTGCTCTTTCTCCTTGTGCAGGGTGACTGGTCTTGTCTCCGCCCCCTCCTGTAGTTTTCTGTAGGCAGGTTGTAGTGGATGAGCATTGATCTCTGCAAAGGCTTTGTACAGCACAGCTACACTATATTGCCAAAAGTATTGGTCGGCCTGCCTTTACACGCACATGAACTTTAATGACATCCCAGTCTTAGTCCGTAGGGTTCAATATTGAGTTGGCCCACCCTTTGCAGATATAACAGCTTCAACTCTTCTGGGAAGGCTGTCCACAAGGTTTAGGAGTGTGTCTATGGGAATGTGTGACCATTCTTCCAGAAGAGCATTTGTGAGGCCAGGGGATGATGTTGGATGAGAAGGCCTGGCTCACAGTCTCTGCTCTAATTCATCCCAAAGGTGTTCCATCGGGTTGAGGTCAGGACTCTGTGCAGGCCAGTCAAGTTCCTCCACCCCAAACTGACTCATTCATGTCTATATGGACCTTCCTTTGTGCACTGGTGTACAGTCATGTTGGAACAGGAAGGGGCCATCCCCAAACTGTTCCCACAAAGTTGGGAGCATGAAATTGTCAAAAATGTCTTGGTTTGCTGTCGCCTTAAGAGTTCCTGTCACTGCAACTAAGGGGCCAAGCCCAACCCCTGAAAAACAACCCCATACCATAATCCCCCCTCCAGCAAACTTTACACTTGGCACAATGCAGTCAGGAAAGTACCATTATTCTCCTGGCAACTGCCAAACCCAGACATGTCCATCGGATTGCCAGACAGAGAAGAGTGATTCGTCACTCCAGAGAACATGTCTCCACTGCTCTAGAGTCCAGTGGCAGCATGCTTTACACCATGGCATCCGACGCTTTGCATTGCACTTGGTGATGTAAGGCTTGGATGAAGCTGCTCGGCCATGGAAACCCATTCCATGAAACTCTCTACACATTGTTGTTGTGTTAATCTGAAGTCCACATGAAGTTTGGAGGTCTTTAGCTATTGACTCTGCAGACAGTTGGCGACTTCTGCGCACTGTGTGCTTCTTCATGCGTTGACCCCGCTCTGTCATTTTACGTGGCCTACCACTTCGTGGCTGAGTTGCTGTTGTTCCCAGTTGCTTCCACTTTGTTATAATACCACTAACTGCTGATTGTGGAATATTTAGCAGCAAAGAAATTTCACGGATGGACTTATTGCACAGGTGGCAACCTATCACAGTACCACACTTGAATTCACTGAGCTCCTGAGAGCGACCCATTCTTTCACAAATGATTTTAGAAGCAGTCTGCATGCCTAGGTGATGATTTTATACACCTGTGGCCATGGAGGTGATTGGAACACCTGAATTCAGTGATTTGGGGGGCTGGCCCAATACTTTTCACAATATAGTGTATTAATGTTCAGAAAGGAACTCATTGAATCTAATGAGATTTTAGTACATTCTGGTAAAATCAGTGAAAAATCAGTTTGGATTGCTTGGTTTAGGATGCTGCATTGTGAGCATTGATTTGTTTTCTTTATAGTTGATCCTATATTTTAACAATGTGCTTTGCTTTGAAACATTTGTATCTAATGGGAGTGTGTGTATTTTTATTTTCTGCTCCTGTGTTACAAACTAACATTCAGAGTTCTTTAGACTTTACTGTACAGGACAATGATTTTGATTCTTCTCCTTTACTGCAGGTTTTGCAAGAATGTCTTTGACCGTGATTACAAAGCAACAATTGGTGTTGATTTTGAAATTGAGCGGTTTGAAATCTTGGGTGTACCATTTAACCTCCAGATGTAAGTCAGCTTTTAAAAATCTCAAAGCACCTCCAGGGGCGGATTGACCATTTGGAAACTCGGGCACTGCCTGAGGGCCCGGGGTCAGTAGGGGGCCCCATGAGATGCCCCTGGTACCTTTTTCATAGGCTTTTTTGAGTTTGGGCAAGGACACAGGGGCCCATGATCCCCTATTGCCCAGGGGCCCTATGAGTTGTCAGTCCGCCCCTGAGCACCTCACACTGCATACCTTATCTATCTATCCATTCAGTTGTATCCAACCCTTGGCGATTGCATGGACCATCACTTGTAAGCGACTTTTCCATGAATTCTCTTAGCAATTATTTTACGGGGTAGGTTGCCAGGTCTTTCCCCAACCCCCACCATGCAGGAAATCCCACATGGCCAGGGATGAAATTAGGGCAATTTAGACAGGAGCCAATTAACCTACCAGCATGTCTTTGGAATGTGGGAGGAAACTGGAGTACCCGGAGGCCTACCCATGCAGGCACAGGGAGAACATTCAAACTCCATGCAGGAGGTGCCATGGTTGGGAATTGAACCCATGACCCAATTACTGCAAGAAGTGCTAAACACTAAGCCCATGTACCTTCTATACACTGCAAAAAGCAGAAGGCATTGTTTGGATTAAACAATTACTCTGGGGTAGTTTCTAACTGATCATTATCAATCTACAGAGGTGAGAATATTATCCTACTGACCTGATATTATAAACTGCCTTATTTAGGCTTCATGCACACTAGCATTTTTTTTTAGCTAAAAAAAAACGCTGGATAAAAAACGCTGGCAGTAGCATTTTTTTTTAGTAGTGGTTTAGTAGCGTTTAAGTGTTTAGTAGTGTTAGCATTTTATTAGCATTTTTACAGTACATATAGAAAAATAAAAGCTAGAAAAAAGCTGTTAGAAGCGTTTTAGTACCATTTTGGACCATTTCTGAAAACTCTACAAACACAATTTTTTTTTTCAACTCCTAAACGCTGAACCTTGAAAAACTCTGCTAACCTAAAATAGTGTGCATGGACACATAGGAAAACACTGTTTAGCTTCTAAGAACAGTAAAAAAATGCTGATAACAGCTTCTAATAAAAAAATAAAATTCTAGTGTGCATGAAGCCATAAAGCACAGTTGTACCTCTCTTCTTAAAGGAGAAGTATAGCCAAAGCTTTTTTGGCTGTACTTCTCCTATGGATCACAATAGTGCAGTTTATTCAGGACTCCAGTGACCCATTTTGAGTTGACAGCGGGCTAAAGCCCTGCATAAGTTGTATCAATTTATCTACAAACCTCTCTTCTCTACAGTCATTCAATGTCCATAATTTATACAGCATGTCTGAGCTTTCAGAGAGTAGGGGGCAGAAAGCTAAAGTTAAACTCTGAAGAGCTCAGTGAGAGCTGATTGGAGGGAAGGGACACACCCCTTCACACAGCAACAGACCCGAGGCTGTCAATCACAGGCTGTGTGGTAGAGCTCCCTCCCCTGTCACCCTTTTTCTCTTGGTGTCAGGAAAACTTGTCAGAGGTCAAAACAGAGTAAGTAGGCAGCAGATAGAAATGGCACTTAGTGCTCTGGATTGAGACAAGTTCACACTATAGAGGGACATGCTTTGTTCATATTTCATGTCAGAGGTTTACAATCACTTTAAAGCTGAACTCCAGGGGCAAAAAAAACATTTATCCTTGCAGTGGGTTCCCCTTCCTGCTGCAAGGGTTACCTGATTGGATGATTATTCAGGTTATATGCTTACTTGCTGATTAAAGTGATACTAAACTCAAAAACCCACAACAGTAAAATCAGTCTGTAAATGCAGTAAATCATGCTTGTTATACTCACTGTAGAACCTAAGAGGTTAATCCTCTGCATTGTGTAAAAAGCTGTTTGATCCTGACTTCTCTGATCCTCCCCTTCTTCCAGTGTCCCCCTCTTATCTCCTAATAAGACACATCCTGTGAGTCACTCTGCACATGCTCAGTTTGGTGTGTATTGCTAGACAGGTTTGTTTTTTTTCTTGGGAGAGTGCATGTGATCCACAGGGCAATCAGCACTGTCCAGACAGAGGTCAGGGGTCCTGCATCCTCCTAGAGCAGAATTAAAACTTCTCCTACAAGCTTTACCATGTGCTCACCTGGACACTGATAGAAGTCACAAGACTGCTCTAACTGGTGATGAGAAACGGTATATATTTACTAAAATAATTGCATTTCCATGTTTGTGTGTACTGGGGGAGACCATATATAGTGAATGCAGGGTCCTGGGTTTAGTAACACTTTAATTATAGTGACAGACTGCATAATTTATTGAATATTTAATTTTGCCCATGATGTGGTTAAATGTTAATGGTTAATCTGATGTGGATGTCTGGATTTTATTAAGTGTTAACAGTTCATTTTAATCCCTTTCTGCTGAGCCTCAGCATCCCCTTAACAGTGTCTTTATGTCCAGGGGGCAGAAAGGAGTTCCTAATCACATGACCACTGATTGGCTGTCACATGTTTAGGAGCCCCTGATCAGTAGTAAAGTTTTTGACAGCTCAGTCACTGAGCTGGGGAGTGCATGCTCATCACAGACACCTCGTCTGTCCATGGACACATATGTGCGGTGTGCAGGAATTAAAGTCCACCCTCTTTTCTGCTACACATATAGGTTATGTGGGTGGCCAGAGATTAAAGTGTTACTAAACCCACAACAGTAAAATCAGTCTGTATATGCAGTAAAGCATGCTTGTTATACTCACTGTGGGACCTAAGGGGTTAATTCTCTGCACTGTGTAAAAAAGGTTGTTTGATCCTGACTTCTCTGATTCTCCCCTTCTTTTACTGTCTCCAATCCATCTGCTGATACTACAGAGCCCTAGGAGTCACTCTGCACATGCTCAGTTCTGTGTGTATTGCAAGAGAGTTTTGTTTTTTTGGGAGGGTGCATGTGATTGGCACAGGGCCAGTCAGCACTGTCCAGACAGAGGGTCAGGGGTCATGCATCCTCATAGGACAGTCATAGGAGTATGATAACTTCTCCTACAAGCTTTAAACCAGTGCTCAGCCAGACACTGATAGAAGTCACAAGACTGCTGTCTACTGCGGATGAGAAAAGGTATTTAGCAGTTTATATTTACTAAAATAATTGCATTTCCATGTTGTGTGTACTGTGGGAGACCAGATATAGTGAATGCAGGGTCCTGGGTTTAGTAACACTTTAAAGAACTCCACTTTTGCTGAGAAAAAAAACATTCCCCTCTAGGAGATCTATGTACATTGCAAGAATTTTACACATTGTGGTGTCCAGTGCGTTACAGAGTACAGTGCATTGCATTGCACTTTAAGTGTTAGAGATGAGGTTTAAAGTCAAGGCTCTCAGTACTGAAATGTGTTGATTTCTTGTTTCCCCTTTGATAACACAATATTTTCTTAAACTGTAACATTTCATATTGTTTTGTTTTCTTAAGATGGGACACAGCTGGACAAGAGAAGTTCAAATGCATTGCATCAGCATATTACAGAGGAGCACAAGGTTAGGTTACAGAATAATTGTAGAATCATCCAAACTACAATGAGTACTTTCTTTGTGTTCCATCATCCAGATGTTCTATAATTAACAGAATCTGGTTTGCATCAATGAACTAATATAAAGATTTTTTTTCTTCTAGTGATTATTACAGCTTTTGATCTGGGTGACATTCAGACCCTTGAGCACACTAGGTAGGTACCAGCTATGTGGGCAGCCCTGAAGAGATTGTGTGCAGACATATGTTGTTGTGTGATATCTTTTTTAAAGGAAATTAATGCTGAGTGAAATGTTTAGGTTGTCACTGATGGGCTTATTTTCTGAAAATGTCAGTTGCTGGACTGTCAGGCTGACTCAGTAGCTCCAAAACACTGACAGTGAGTGTTAACAAGAATGCAATTCAGAAATTCTGACTTAACTGGCTTTTTTCATGTCAATGACTTGGAAAGAATTTATGTCAGAGGACCTGTATGTCATCCATACAAGGAAAGGTCAGCAATGAAATCCTATGTATGCACACCTGTCCTTTTAAAGTGACACATTGTAAGCGTACACTTTACTAAATGTGTATTTACTGGTATACTTATCATATTATTATTATTATTTATTATACAGGATTTATATCGCGCCAACAGTTTGCTCAGTGCTTTACAATATAACGGGAGACAATACAGCAACAATACAGTTCAATACAAGAGGGTTAGGAGGCCCTGCTCCTTGGAGTTTACAATCTAAGAGGGAGGGGCTAGTGGTACAAAAGGTAGTAACTGTGGGGGATGGACTGGTTGGAAGAGTAGAAGATTCCAGTGTTAGCTGAGGGCAGGATAGGCTTCCCTGAAGAGATCGGTTTTCAGAGATCGCCTAAAAGTGAGCAGAGCAGGCGATAGTCTGATAAATTGGGGTAGAGAGTTCTGGAGGATGGGGGAAGCTCTGGAGAAGTCCTGGAGACGAGCATGGGAGGAGGAGACAAGGGAGCTAGAGAGTAGGAGGTCTTGCGAGGAGCGGAGAGTGCAGTTTGGATGATATTTAGAGACAAGATCGGTGATGTAATTTGGGGCAGAGTTATAAATTGCTTTATACATTATTGTTAATGTTTTGAATTTTATCCGTTGGGCAATGGGAAGCCAGTGGAGGGATTGGCAGAGAGGGATGGCAGACATGGAATGGGAAGCCAGTGGAGGGATTGGCCAGAGGGATGGCAGACATGGAATGGGAAGCCAGTGGAGGGATTGGCAGAGAGGGGTGGCAGATACAGAACGGTTAGTAAGGTGGATGAGTCTGGCAGCAGCATTCATGATAGGCTGAAGAGGGGATAGCCTGCGATGAGGTAGGCCAATGAGGAGGGAGTTACAATAGTCAAGGCGAGATATAACAAGGGAGTGAGTTGCTTTGTGGTTTCCAAGGTTAGGAATGGGCATATCTTGGAGATGTTTTAGAGATATACTTATGCCTACACAGCTCTCCCCCACGGTTCAATCACTAGGTTTCTTCTGGTTACATTTGGGAAGCACAGTGGCTAAATAGTTAGCACTTCCGCCTGGCAGTACTAGGGTCACTGGTTCGAATCCCAACCACAGCACCACCTGCATGGAGTTTGCATGTTCTCCCTGTGTCTGTGTGGTTTTCTCCCCCACTCCAAAGACATGCTGGTAGGTTAATTGGCTCCTGTCTAAATTGGCCCTAATATGTGTATGTATGAATGTAAGTTAGGGACCTTAGATTGTACACCCCTTGAGGGTTAGGGACTGATGTGAATGTACAATATATATGTAAAGCGCGGCGTAAATTGACAACGCTATACAAGTACCTGAATTAAATAAATACATTTCAGAACTGTTGTAGAACAATGGAAATAAATCTGGCCATACACTGTGTGAAATTTGTCTGGTTCCTGGTGAATCGGCCAAAATACACTAATTGGATGCCTCTTGGACCGCCCCGCCCCACATCCTTTGATTCAAAAATGGAAAGATCCAGGCAAAACATGGCCACTAAACAGCAGGAGATTCCAATTAGATGCAGTCGCTGTTTAAGTTTCTGACAAGCAATAGCTGCAGCTTTCAGAATACAGTACCGCCGCAGGGGGGATTTGTCCATCCACGCTATTAGCAAGCTGAACGGAAAAAAAAAAATGAAGACTGACCACTCTACTTTACTTACATGAATTAGATCGATATTTCTGGTATAAAAGGAGACATGCTAATAACTGTTATATCTCCTATGTTTAGCTCAGGTAGGCATAGTGGGTATGCAGAAACTTTTAATAAGTTATCACTTATATATGGAACCAGCATGACTGCTCCCATAAATGTATACACAAATGACTACGCTGACATACAAACATTTTTTGTAAGATTTAATTTTGTCTATGTATTTGCTAAAAGAAAGTTTTCTTATGCCTTTAAAGTTAACTGAAAGTGTAAAATTATTGTAAACTGTAAAACCTAATTCAGTACAGTCAGCAGTACTATTCATCTCCAGCAGCTTACCTGTCACTGTTTTGTAGTTCAATGGTTTTTATTAATTTTAAACAGTATAAAACAGAGGCAACAAAAACACGCCCACGCAGGGGCTATCAATTGCACAGATAAAAAAAGCAAAATAGAAAAAACAGTGCTCTAACGCCAACAAGGCAATAGGTACACCCACGCAGGGGCTATCAATGGGACATAAGTTACAATAACATTAATGTAACTCTGACTATAACAACTAAAGGCAGCAGTCCACTGTCACACCAAAAAACAAACAGAGAAAAGAGAGAAAGGAAAAAACAAAAAACAAAGAGAAGGGGTCCAAGAGCGCCAATACCGAACGCCATTACATCCCCGGACTAGCCTGGGGGAGCGTGGGAAAGGCATTTTGCAACCACGGCTCCCATATTTTCAAAAATTTACATTGGGAGTCGTTGCAGATACTCGACATCTGTTTGTTGAGCATCCTAGTGGTCATACGATCCCGCATCCCCTGAAGAGGGACAAACGGACTCTTCCAGGCCTGAGCAATTGTTCTAGTGGCCGATAAAAACAAATAGGAAGCCAACTTCTGCTGGTGAGCCAAAAGGCCCGGTATGGGGCAATGAAGCAAGGCATACCGAGCATCCCAGCATATGGAGAGACCTGTCACTGTTTTGAATGCAAGCACCATGTGTACTCGTTATCCTTAAGCCTCATATACATTGTAAGTTCTGTTATGTTGAGCCCAGCAGGTTGAACGAAAAAAACTGACAGATTGCTGTACTTTGGTGCACACCCCCCCCCCCAGGCCAGAACACACTGGTTAGTGCTCTCAGCCATTGGCTGAGAGTGCTGATCAGTAGTCATTTTTTCGGTCATACCCCTTCAACAGAAGCCGGATGTTCGTCTGGCTACTGTCTGTATCTGTTGATACCGTCTGATATTTGGCCCATGTGTACTTAGCTTTAGGCAGGACATAGATGATTTGATTTTCTTTCCTGCAACCACAGGTTACAGGAAACAAAAATAGCTCAATTCACTCATCAACACAGTCAATGCTGATGTAGGAATTCCTTCTGCAGACTCTCTGCCAGCAGAGTACAATGATTACTGCTAGCGGCTATAAACATTGGCAGTAATCGCAATACAAAAAAAAAACCCAACAAGCTGGTTGTACTGAAGTCACTTGATGGATCGACCTCAGTACAACCAGCTTGCCCAGACATAGATCAAATCTCGGCCAGTCTCTGCTGAACTGGCCGAGATTCATTCCGTCTATGGCTGGCTTTAATGATCACATTCATTATGGGTTAATAGGTGGAGCACCGTACACAATCACTTTTGTATTTCAATAGTTTTTATTAGTTTTAAGCAGTATAAAACAGAGGCGACAAAACATGCCCCCACAGGGGCTATCAATTGCACCGATAAGATAAAAAACATAATAATAAAAGAAAAACAGTGCTCTAACTTCAACAAGGCAGAAGGTACGCCCACGCAGGGGCTATCAATGGCACATAGGTTACAATGACGGTAATGAAATTCTAACTGCAAATTAAAGGCAACTGTCAACTATCACCCAAAAAAAAAACTAACAGAAATGGAAAGAAAGAAAGAGAAGAGAAATAAGAGGAGAGAAAAAGAAAAAAAAGAGAAGAGGGGGCAGAGATCCAGGAGCGCCACCATCAAACGCCAGTGCCTAACGTCAGTACATCCCCATACTAGCCAAAGGAAGCGTGGGAAAGGCATATTGCAACCATGGTTTTCCCATATTTCGAGAATTTACATTGGGAGTCGTTGCATATGCTCGACATCTGCTCATTAAGCATCATTATTGGTCATCACGATCCCGCACCCCCTGAAAAGGGACAAACGGACTCTTCCAGGCCTGAGCAATTGTTCTGGTGGCCGACAGAAACAAATAGGACGCCAGCTTCTGCTGATGAGCAAAGAGACCCGGTATGGGGCAATGAAGCAAGGCATACCGAGCATCCCGGCGTATGGATAGATGAAACAACGTGAAAAGGAGGCCAATACACGAGACCAAAAACGGACCAGTCTCGCGGCATGACCACCAGATATGCAAGACATCGCCACGATGGCCACAACCCCGGAAACATCGATCAACTTACAAGCGGGATTAGCCTGGGCCAAACGAGCCGGAACCCGAATACCAACGAAACAATACCTTATAGGCTGCCTCCACGTGGTGGTATTGAATGAGCATTTAGCTATGATTGACCAGGCCCTATTCCAGTCCTACCGATCCACATCCACCCCCAGGTCACGCTCCCACTGAACAACATATGAAAGAAAAGTATGCGACGGGCGTCTGTTCAAGGCTGCATAAAGAAGGGAGATAAGGCCCGGGCACCCGGGCGCTGCTGACAAAGCTGTTCAAAGGCCGATTTCTGGTATGGAAAAGAAGAAGTGCCCCGCAGCGAAGTAGCCAGTGCCGCAATTGAAAGTATCCGAAAAAATTCCGCCGGGGGGAACATCCCGGACTCCCGAAGAAGATCCCAGTAGGGAAGGGCCGAGAAACCAAAAAGTGTCGTACCTGCGAAAAACCCATGAGCCCACCCACCAAGAGAACGCCCTTGGGTGATCTAAACCCGGTGGGAAAAGAGGGTTGTTAACAATTGGAAGCAAAGGCAGAAAGGGTGACATCAGGCCACTGGAATAACGTACCGAGTCCCAGATTCGTAAGCCATGGAGCAACATCGGGCTCAGCGATATAGGGC